GACTCACCGGCAACAACACTACGGCCAACACCTGCAGCTCGGACTAGTCGCCCGGGTGCGCGGGGCCTTTGAACGAAAGCTCCTAGGCAAACCAGCGAGACTACCGCGCGATGGGGAGGTCGCCTCTTTGCGCGGTCACATGCGACGGCCAACACCTGCACCCCGGACTGGTCGCCCGGGCCTGTGGGGCCTCTGAACGAAAGCTCTTTGGCGAAACAGCGAGACTACTGCGTGCTGGGTCGGTCGGCTCGGTACGTGGTCACATGCGACGGCCAACACCTGCGGTCCGGAGTGGTTGTCCGGGCTTGCAGGGCCTATGGCGGAAACTCCACTGGCGAAACAGCGAGACCACCGCGCGGCGGGGAGGTCGCCTCGGTGCGCGGTTCTATGCGACGGCCAACACCTTCACTCCGGGTTTCGCGGTTGCTCGGGACTGGAGGGCCTATGGGGGAAACTTCACTGGCGAAAGGCGAGACCGCGAACACAACCACTCTTCAAGTTGGTCGGCCGGCTTGGGGACGCGGAGTCCGCACTGTGCGGGCGAAGAGCTACGACCGACAACTGCGCCTCAAGTTCTTCGATCGGACTTGGGAACGCGGTGCCTGCAAAAGGCGAACAGCGACGATCGAGTTTCCCGGACTGTAGTGCTTCATGTAGTCTCGATTTGTAGTATCATACCCCTTGTAGCCCGTCTTTCATTTGTATCACAGCGCGCGTATGAGAATCCAATATACCCATTCTGTCACAATAGCTTTGAAGCTTGAGCATGAATTTGTAGCTCGTGAGCTGAGTCATTATTTGGCGCATGGATTGGAGAGATACTATTTATCGTAGGTATCGAGCCGAGGTCAGGGTACTTGCAGGCTGGAGTCTTGTCGCATGAACGGACATGAACGACAGCTTGCCGCAGTAAACAGTTGACCGGATAGAGCCATAGAGACGACGACAAGCTTTCATCGACGTGACGAGAGATCTTGCATATGCATCGCAGGGGCGGGGACTGTCCTACCTCAAGCGATGTGGTACTTACTAGAATTTCGCACCGATGGGCGCTCATGGTCTTCGTCAGTGCGCGCTTGCAGCCGCCATCAAAATCACACGTCGAATCTACGATCTGATTCGCTAATGCATAATAGTGTACATCTCCTCAAACGCCTCATCGCGACGCGACGTGTTCTCATTTCCTCCCATATGGGTCCAACGCCGGCCGCGAAAACGCCGGCTAATAGTGTCAGGGATCAGCGTCGAGAGACAGACATCTCGCAAAGCAAGAACTCACCACAGGCTCAGGCTTGTTCTCCAGGATCCGGTCGATCTTTTCCAGGATCTCTGGCGTGAGCTTGGGGATGACGTCGAGGGCCTTCAGGTTGTCGACGACCTGCTCCGGCTTCGAGGCGCCCAGGATGATGGTGCTCGTGTTCGGGTTCGCCGCGAGCCACGCCAGGGCGAGGTGCGTTATCGAGCAGCCCAGCTCTGCGTATGCCCGCTCAGCATGACATTGTCCCGCGCGCCGTCGCGCAGCTTACCTTTCTCGGCGAGCTCCGACAGGGCGCGGACTTTGGAAAGCTTCTTCTTGCCGTCTTCGTCGTTCAACAAGTTATCAAGCGTGTTCTTGAAAAAGTCCTTGTGGTTCGCGAGTCGCGAGCCCTCGGGAATGCCGTTGTTGTACTGGTGCAATGCATCCGTCAGCTGCCGATGTCCCAGGCAGACAAAGAACGTCCCCCACCTTCCCCGTCAAGAGTCCACTGGCAAGCGGAGACCATACTGTGGTGCCGATCTTGTATTTCTCGTAGAGGGGCCTGTAAACCATATCATGATTTGTCCTTTCGCTAGGCGGTGCATGAAACACGCACGCGTACTCCTTCTCAGGACGCTCTCGGTGGAACATGCTGCCGAAACATAAGTACAAACTGATGCTGTAATATGGAATAGGTGCATACTGATGTTGGCATTGCTCAGCAACAGGCCCACTCAAACCCAACTTATCAGCGACATCTAGAGAGCCGTCAGATTCTCGATTGCGATCTCAGCAAGGATACCCGTAACATACGATATGCCTCCTCGATCTCACGGGCAGACCACTCCGACGTCGCCCAATAGAATGCCTGCGGCGACCCTGTGAGTTCAAGCGACAACAAGACCTGTAGAGAACATACCCAGCCCTGGTCGATCACGAAGTTGAAGGCACGAACGATTTCTTCCATAGGCACTAAGCTGAAGCATTAGCAATGGCAGACATGCGCAGAATGGAGCGGGACTCGTACCGGTGGAATCAGGTCGGTGGGCAAATATCACGTCGACATAATCCATTCCAAGGCGTTCTAAGGAGGCCTTCGTTCCCTCGATGATACTGCCGTAGTCGTTAGACGAGGAGGCCACACACACGCGAATGGCTTACTGCTTCCTCGAGAGACCAGTCCCGTTCGGGTTGTTCTTGCGGGTTCCTGCATATATCTTGGTCGAGATGATGAGATCCGTGCGACGCAGTCCGAGCTCCTTGATGACTCTCCCCCTTTAGGCAGACGACGTGGTCACAATCGTGCAGTAACGACAGAAGTGGGGTGGCTCACATCTCTAGCTCAGAGTTTCCATCTGCATAACCTTCAGCAGTGTCAAACCTACGCGGAGTGCATCGGGTAAGGTTCCCGCTAGCGGCGACGAGAACATAAGTCTCTCACATGTTGACGCCATGTTCGTAAGCTATCTTGATGATATCCTATGATGGACGCTGTTGAGTGCACTGTCAGATACTAAGGGATTATAAGCATACCTTGACGGGATCACCGACGACTGTGCCGCCTAGGGTCAACCCTGGAGCAGGCTATCAACAATCGCAGTAGGAGCGCCAGAGGTGGTCAACCCACAGCCTCCCAGAGAGAACACGGGAACACGGAGGCCTGTAGGGCCAAGCCTCCGGAACCTCATGTTCTTCGAGTCGTATTCGACCTTGACGGAGGACATGCTTGAGATGTTTTGTGCAATGAAGCGCGACGGAGGGCTACTGGATAGCCTGGATAATTGGGATACTCGGGAGAGGAGGTACATGGACTGGGCGGTCGCTGCATGTGCTTATATATTTATGTTGATGTTAAACAGGGCGCGCAGACGTCATTGCCGGCCGCGTCAGTGTTGACGGGATCGGCATCGACTATGTTACCAAGCCAGGCATCTGCCGATTCGCCTCCACTAAACAATGTGGGTGCATCTACGCACCCAATTACGAACACAACTCGTGGCGCTCCTTGCGAAGGTGGCGTTCTTCGGGAGCGCGCGACGCTACTAAGCACGGACATTTGCTGTGGATCATGCCGCTGGTCATTGGCATTTGTCATATTCCGTAGGGGATCACAGTGGGTCGTTGGCACCTGCACTATCACATTCGCCGGTCAATAGTAGCACCATGTAAGATAGGGCTCGTACACTTCCATCAGGTGTTACGTAAGGATTTGTGATGAAAAGCGTGACAAAACATGAATAAATTATAGACAATTTGGATACCACAGAAGTAGAAAAACCAAAACTAAGGAGTCTATCTTCCAGGAAGACCCGAAATTTACTTGGTTCTCCATTGAGCCCACAGATGGAGGAGATAGTTTGACAATGTTTTGTGTTGACACACATACAAAATATCTTCCCAATGCGGTCATATCGTGATCCCGCTTTATGACTGGACTTTCGAGCGCGCTCTCTATAGGTGCACAGATAATCCAAAGATGGGACGGTAACATGTGAGTATCACGGAGTATCACACCGCGGTCACACCTGATGGAAGTGTACGAGCCCTATGACGCGACCCACGTGACCGCGTTGCACAGCATGTACCTGTGTACGATCAAACATCTTGCGCATCATGGGTTCAATTATTTGAGACGAGATCTTGAGCCACGATCCGGAATCAAAGTCGACAGCAATTTCAAAGCAAATACGTAATGACAGCAGGCGATGGTTTTACACGGCAATTTCTTAGCGAACGCCATCAGGCTTCAAAGCCTCAAGTGCGTCGTTGTCGGCATCGTTCACTCATTCATGTCGAGCGTTCATGGTCCAAAAAGGGTACTCGAAATCGAAGTAGGAGGAGACGGCCGGTGGAAAACAGGTGCACTGCAAGCAACCATTGAGATCGTCGTTCAGATAGCGTGGAACGGACTGAGCCTCACCTCGCTGGCACGGACGCCGTACGATGGATTGGGGAACGCGGATCCGCAGCAGCACTGTACACCCTGTTCGGCGCGTGCATAGGCTGCGTCAGGCCCAGACTCAATGGGCTCAGGGTGGCCTGCGAGCCGGCAGGCGACACGACGCTCGCGGTCGCAGTCATCGGCTGCGACGCACTTGAGAGCGGGCGGCGGCACGACACGCACATACGGCTCACCGGGCATTCGCAGTACGCGCTGTGGCCCTCGCTGTGCGTGCGCGTGATCGGGCGCGACGAGCTGCTCGGGGAAGGAGGGGGCGTCCCGCAGGGCGTCGAGTACGTGTAGGCGCGCGGAGGCGTGGTGGCTTGCACTTCCGCATCAACGTAGGTGGCACGTCTCGCTCGGCGAGTGCTAGAACTCGCGCCCGAGCGTAAGCCAGCCCGCGCGTCGGGAGTGGGCGAGCTAGGTTGGCTGATGCTGAGGTTGGAGAAGTCTGGCTCAATGTATGTAATGCCGGTATGGGGGGTCGAGTTGCTCCCGGAGGAAATGCTAGGAGACTGGGGTGCAAGTTGGTGCACAGTTACGGCAATGGAAGCAGTGGGATATTGAACGTAGGTTTTCTCACGAGAACGCACAGAGCGCGGAGAGGATAGTGGTCCCTCGATGACGGTAACACCAGTTGCGGGTGAGGAAGACGTATTCAACTCTGTGTGAGGAGATCTCACGTAGTAGTGCACCGGAGAACGAACCGAACGCTCAGATTGCGGTGACTGTGGTGACGCATCTGCTGCCTCGCGTCCCGGAGAAGGACTATAGCCAGGCCTCGCCGCGGTCGCAGAACGGGATGACGATGTGCAGGTCGAGGCGTGCACGGAGGAGCGCGCGGAGTACCATTCAGAATGTACGGAGGTATCGCGGGGAGTCTGCGCAGGCACCGGGGCTGCACGACGGACAGGCGAGCTCTCAAGAGAGCGGCGGGGAGTGGGCGGGGTCGCCGGGGACGGGACAGGCGCCGGCACCAGCGGGGCGCGCGCTTTGGTGGGCTCAGGGACGCGGCGGGGGTCCCCACGCACGACCGTCGTCCTGCCCTGGGCCTGCGCAGTCGCATACGCCTCTTCCGCCTCCACGCGCGTCTTGTAGCCCTTGTAGATCGAGCCTTCGACCTTGAGCACCCTGTTGGCGCATTCCCACCTGTCGAGCGTCGCGCCGAGCAGACATGAGCGCGACGACCCGACCGAACGCACGTTGCACAGGTATGACGACACTTACCAGTCGTCATAGACCCCGGGCTCTGTTGCTACGAAGGCGACATATGCTGCGTACTTGGGCATGTTCTGGTAGCGCGAGTGATGATGGAGAGCTCCTGATGAGCCTGTCGGAGGTGAAGGGGGTCGGTTCTGGCTAAGCTGGGGGTCTTGAGTCGACCACAGCGATATCGGGCCCGTACATCTTCGCAGGATTCAATCAAACTTCTAGATCCCATTTAGTCAAGCATTTAGCCGATAGGCCGTGAGTACGCGCCCGTAAGAGCAAGGCACCTGGTGTAATGAACGTGTGAATTCCCGCGACGACCACGCTGTACTGTAGAGAAGTATCCAGCTGCACGGAAACAGAAATACACCTGCTCTTATACAGCTTGCAGCGATAGCGAACCGCAGCGACGAGGCCGCCCAGCAACCCGTCGTACGTCAGCGTCTCGTAACACGGGCACTGGACCCTGATCAGATGGGAACGGCATCCGGAACTTGAGAGCGAGTCCATGTCCAATTGCAGAATTATCAGCGAAGTCCGAATAGGTGTATAGGCAATGATAACATAGCAATCGACATCCCGCTGTATAGCATACGAAAACCTGCAATCCTCTCATACTGCAATGTAGCCTCCTCGACTCGCCGAGTGTGGACGAACAGCCGAGCATAGATGTGACACGACATCGCGCAGCATATACGGAACCTCCCGCCAGAAGTCGCGATGTCTACGAGAGGCGTACATCAGATCAGTCGACGCGTTTGAAGAGAAGCAGAAGACGCACGGTATGAGGTCCAACCCTGATGCACCATATGTAGAATAATTATAGTATGCGCCCAGTCCGAAATATCCTATGAGCGCGAGGAACAACCTGCAGATATGATTAGATATAACGTTTACTAAAAGCAGCAGGGAGGCCATGAAGGAAGGCTACTCACAAAAGGAAGAAGTAGCCAATCCCAGATCCAACCGACTTCTCATCCTTGTCAGTATCTTCCGAAGGATGGGTCTCCGGTGGCTCTCCAGGCCCACCGAAGCCGCAACCTGCTGATGTGCGCCACTCAACCCACATATCTCTACCGTCGTACGAAGAAAACTCAAGATCCACAGCGTCGGGATCGCATATAAGGTTGACATTGAAGGTCTGGGGTATAGGATCGTCGCCATTCGGGGGAGGGTATGTGGAGCCTTTGAACGATACAGACAGGCCCTTTGGCGCTAGAAGCTTATGAGACAACCGTCTGGACACTAGCCGATCAATCAAGGCCTACATGACAATTCAGAGTATTGGACATCTGTGAGTGGCGACGATGCCAATGGAATTACGGCGACGATACGGTCATCGGACCCTTCTTTGCGGTTCGTTTTGGTGAGACAAGCTCGTGTTCCTGAAGGACACTGAATGTGAGACACCGTGGAAATGAACATAAGCCGCTAGCCCCAAGGCTTTATCAAGTACACCGGGAGGCTACACACCTGGTCCTTCTCGTCCACACCCTCATCCGGCTGCAAGCCTTCGCATAGGTCGAACACCACCGTGTCGATCATAGTGCTGGGCGGTGTCTCTCTCGTTCTCTTGACTACTTGTTGGCCTTTGATCTTCGTGAGGTCGTATTTGAGGCCGTTGTACGAAACATGACAAGAGAAGTCGCCCTCGTCTTCGGCCGCAGAGGCCCAGGCGGAAAGAAGCAACAACAGGGAGATTTTCAGACAGTTATGGCGCGTTCGCCGGCTCATGGCGGTGGATATATATCCTGAGTGGTAGGAGGAGACGTGGAGGTGGTTGCGATGCAAGGAGCGTGAGCAGTGTTCAGAGATCACTGCGCTGAGCCGGCGCGCGCGCCTTCGCCGACGCGTAGCAGATGGACCCACGACACCGCCGGTGTTTAAGACGCGCCCACTACCCGGGGGACTGCTTGCGCGTGCGCGACGCGTCAGTGGCAGGAAGCGCCCGTACCACCGCGTCCGCCACACCCGTCCTGATCCTTCAGATCCTCTACTACATAAGGCCCTCTCACCTGGCTGCTACGGCACCAATACTCATCCAGCTATGGCCACCGTCGACGACCTAATCCCCCTCATTTATCATGAGCGACAAGAACCAGGCTCGATGCTCTGTGCCCAGCATGCTCTGAACGCTTTACTGCGTGAGTGCGCCACCCGTGTCGTGGTCTGACATTTCTGAGCATATCTTCGCAATCTATACAGAGGGACACTATGTATGTGGCCCTGTTTAATCTACGCCCATGTTTGCTCAGGTAGTAAATCCAGTTAACAGCACCCGATCTGTCTGCTATTGCCGTGACATTGGATGAGGAAGAAGCACAGTATGACGAGGCCAACCATGGTCATACCAGCACCAACATGGATGACACTGGTGAGTGTTTACACCCCTGCTCTCATCTGTAAGCTGTGAGCTCAGACATCTGTGGCGCAGGTTTCTTCTCCGTCCAAGTCTTGGAAAGGGCTTTGCAGGTCTGGGGACTTACGTGCGTACTTATGCATCCCAGGATGTATCAGAGCTGACGCAGTGACTGTGTGGGCGAATGCAGTCTGGTACGATGGCGCAGCGAACGCATGCGCCCGTTCCAAGAGCATCCACAGTAAGTCTCCCGGAAACGTGGAGCAGCCTACTGCATAATATGAGGTGCCTGACATCTTACTAGCACCCAACTGGCATTTATTCTCAACCTGCAACAGCATTGGTATACACTACGGCGATTTGGAGCGGTTTCGCCTGATCCATTCTCAGAAGCGGGTTCTGGCATAGGACACTGGTTCAATTTGAATTCGTCCCTCGAGGCGCCAGAGTGGGTCTCGAAACTGTATTTAGGCATGGTGCTGCAGCAAGCTGAGGCTGAAGGTCAAACTTAGCGCATCCTTAGATCTTCGCGCAAGCTAACATGTGATATAGGCTACTCTGTTTTCGCCGTCGTGCAGGAGGACCCAGAACTTCCACTCTCCCTACCTCGTTCACCAGCAGATCCCCTCGCAGCTACCATTCCAAACCTGCCGTCTCACTCTGGCTCGCGTCCCTCGGCCACAAGATCCATATCCCAGCCAGCCTCGCGCAAGCAGGAATCATCTTACGGCTTCGAGGACGAGGACATGGAACTGCAGGCAGCACTACAAGCCTCGCTAATGGCCGGCGGCGCGTACGATTATCAGCCTGCTAGTACTTACATTCCTCCTCCAGCCTCCTCGTCCTCTGGACCAGGCGTACTGACGCCCACGCAACGTCACTCCCGCGCCGCGAACGCAGCACAGGTGGAAGAGGAAGATGATTCTGCGGAGGCACCCGAGACGTTCGACCCTGTCGCTGCAAGTATGGCGCGCAGCCACGCGTATATGCAACGTATGCAGCGGGAGCAGGAGGCGGCGCTGCGGGAGAGCTACCAAGGAGAGATGGCGCGCGTGGAGTCCGCCACGGCGCGTCGTGGTACAGCGTACGCCCAAGAAGACGATGAGGACGAGATGTTCCGGCGCGCGATGGCAGAGAGCGAGGCCATGGCACGGAATGCACAGGCTGCTGCACCGGCACTCGAAGAAGAAGAAGATGACGAGATCGATATCGACTACCACCCACCTGAGGAGCTCTCCCGGCTCAACCTCCCGCAGTCCGTGTCGGCGTATCCACACAGAGTCTACGATGACGAGGATGCGGAGCTTCAGGCAGCGTTGAAGGCGTCGTTGGAGAGCGTGCCCGAGGGGTTCGTGATACCTGACAGCCCTCCACAACGCGCCGGACCCTCGCTTCCTGCTGCGAGCGCTGCTGTATCAGCGCCTACACCCGTTCCCGCCCCCGCGCCCATACAACGGCAGCCCTCCACTGCATCTGAGTCTGGATTTGAGACTGAGACAGAATCTGAGACGGAGCAGCCGCAGGTTGAGCAGCTAAGCATGGAGGAAATTAGAAGGAGGCGTCTGGCAAGGTTTGGCGGTTGATACAGGTTCGAGGAAATCGTCGCATGAATGTGTCTGAGAGCGAAGAACTAGTGCAATTGTACTCTGTATTGCATGCATTCCATGTATTGTTGCTACCAGCTTGTCTGCAAATGAGGAATGAGTTGAGACACATGACGATGTCTTGAGCGTGTAAATTTGACAAGCTTGTGCTGGAAATAAGCTAGCATATGTTCTGTCCGGAGGCGCCATTCAGTCGCGCGAGACGCGATCGTTGATGCGCTGCACGTGATCGACGCGATCGTAGTGGCACGCGTCGCGTCGCCACTACTCGACAACCACCAATCTCTCAAGAAGGCTCGCGTCTCTGCTGCTGAGAATCACTCGGGTACAGCTCTGATTGGTACTGTTTTTGAGTTGAGCTTTGGGGACTCTTGCTGTAGGTGAATATCGACCAGGGAACTATAACATCCTTCATCTCGGCGCGTCCGCCATGCGTATTGAAGAACTGGTGCTAGAGGGTGTGTACTAATGGCGCTAATCGAAATGTGGTGTTTTGTCAACATTCAACCTAGGCTTCAAGTCATATCCTGTTCGAACTCAAATCACAGGCTGGGACCCCTCCTTCAATGCTATCACGGGTCTTAATGGCTCGGGCAAATCCAACATTCTGGACGCGATATGTTTTGTTCTTGGAATTACAAACATGTCATCTGTGTGTGATCTCTATGTATTACCCCTCTGTGCTTATGCATTGACGAGCCTTTCTCCCAGATGCGCGCGCAAAATCAGCAAGACCTGATCTACAAACGTGGTCAGGCGGGCGTCACCAAAGCTAGCGTCACCATTGTCTTTGACAACTCGGATCGCTCCACCAGTCCTGTCGGGTTTGAGAACTGCAAACAGGTCACTGTGACCCGGCAGGTGACTCATGATTTGCATTCGGCTCGGAATAACGATAGTAACGATGGCTGACTGCTATGAACGTAGATTGCGTTGCCCAATGTATCAAAATACCTTCTGAATGGACATAAGTCGCAGCAGCACAGTGTCCAGACACTCTTCCAAAGCGTGCAGTTGAACATCAACAACCCGAACTTCTTGATTATGCAGGGGCGAATCACCAAAGTGAGTACGGTCGTCCATCATGCGCGCTCATGATCTCAACCCCGTTCTACACTAGGTCCTCAACATGCGACCTCAGGAGATCCTCGGCATGGTAGAAGAAGCCGCCGGTACGCGAATGTTCGAAGAACGAAAGGAGAAGGCGAAGAAGACAATGGGCAAAAAGGAGAAGCGTGTGCAAGAAATTACTGCCCTCCTTGTTGAAGAAATTGAACCTAAGCTCGATACGCTCCGCGAGGAGAAACGCTCTTTCCTCCAGTGGCAGAAGGCTTGCGCAGAGCTCGAGCGCATCGGACGTGTCCTGCGCGCCTGGGAGTGGACCGAGAGCCGCGAGCGCGTAACGAAGAAGGACGCGGAAATCCAAGCGAAGGACAAGGAAACCGACAAGTTGCGGAAGGGCAAGGAGAAGTGCACTAAGGAGATCGCAGCCGCGGAAAAGAATGCAAAGGAGGTAGAAGCGCAGCGGGAGAACGAGCTGAGGAAGGGCGGCAAGTTCAAGAAGTTGGAGGATGAAGTGGCTGAGCTGGAGAAAGTGCTTGTCAAGATCAAGACGCAGGTAGAGATCAAGAATGGCACTATCTCAGACGACGAAGAAAAGGTGAAAATTCTGAAGACTGAGCTGGCAGAGGTACGCTGAGTGCAACTCACTCCTCTAGTATCTTAACTAATGACCAGATTTTAGCTTGAAGAGGCCCTCACGCGGAAGCGCACGCAGGTAGAGGAGCTTACGGCGTCCCACGGTGCTGTCAAGGAAAAGCATACTGCTTTGCAGACTGCAATGACGAATGCAGAAGAACTTCTTCAGACGTTGCTCACTGGTCTTTCGTCGTCTGGCGCCAGCAATACAGGCGGTGGCTACATGGGCCAACTTGCCGACGCCAAGGCACGTCTAGCGCAAGCGAACACAGAGGAGGAACAGAGTAGGCAAAAGCTCGCTATGAACCAGAAAGAGCTCAAGGCACTCGAAGCACGCTGGAAAGAGGTGGAACGGGAGGCTAGCGAGGGTCAAAAACGGTTACAAGCCATGCGAGCCGAAGTCCAAGCGTTCAAGAACAATGTCGCTCAGTCAGGATGGAGCGCCGAGAAGGACCAGGAGGATGAGGTCGCTCGGCGAAATGCAAAGGCTGAAGTGCGGCGGCTAACTGAGGTATGCTTGCTCGCCTCTCGCTCGTCCCGTCCCTGACGATGAATACTTTTCAGCAACGGGATTTCATCAAGCAGCGGCTGTCGTCTTTGGACTTCGATTATGCATCGCCACACCCAAACTTCGACCGCAGGAGTGTGAAGGGTCTTGTCGCTTCCCTCATCTCACTTGACCAAGCAGATTACAACAAATCAACCGCGTTAGAGATCACCGCTGGTGGTAGGCTGTACAATGTAGTTGTCGAGACGGAACAGGTGGGGAAAGACCTCCTCAAGAACGGTCGCCTCAAGAAGCGAGTGACGATTATCCCGCTCAATAAGATCGACGCATTCAAGATCTCTGCGCAGGTGTGCTGTTCCTGCATTAAGATGTACTGCCATTTATCTGACCTTGATGTGCAGAAACTCGCGGCTGCCACAAAGCTCGCCCCTGGCAAAGTTCGCCTTGCCCTGTCCCTGGTCGGGTATCCTGAAGAAGTGGCGAACGCTATGACATTCGTGTTCGGCAACACCCTCATCTGCGACGATGCCGAATCTGCAAAGCTTGTCACTTTTTCGCCGCAGGTAGGCGGTGTCCGATCCGTCACACTCGACGGCGATATCTACGACCCCTCCGGCACTCTTAGTGGAGGCTCTGCACCCAGTAGCAGTGGTGTTCTCGTCAAAGTGCAGGAGTTGCTAGAGGCTGAGAGGAAATTGGGCGAGGCACGAGGCCGACTTGAAATGCTAGAGCGAGAAGAGGAGCGAGGCAGAGTGGAGAGAGAGAAGTGGAAGAAGCTAGCCAGAGAGCTTGAGATCAAGGAGCATGAAATGCATCTGCTCGAAGAGCAGGTGGGCGGGAGCAATGCGACAAGGGTGTGTCCTAACATGATGTGGATCTCATTAGTTCGGCTGACGGCAGGGACAGGTTGGCGCCGACATAGAGAAGACAAGGCAGATGATTGCCGATCTCACAACCACGGTCAATCTCGCAAAGCAGAAGCAGAAGGATGCTCAGGCAGAGATCAAGAAGCTCGAGAAAGATATGGCCGAGTTTAAGGACAACAAGGAAGGCAAGATCGATGAGCTAAAGGTACTTGATAACGGCTCGTCATGTTAAAGAATTTTTTCTAATAACCGTCTACGATTTCCAAAGGCCGATGTCTCGAGGCAGAAAGCAGCTCTGCAAAAGCACTCTGTCGTGGTTAAGACCCAACAAAAGGAGCTTCAAACGGCTACCCTTGAACTCGGTAGGATATGGTAAAGTTGCATGCTCAGCATATAGTTCTGACACCTGTCTGTTTAGAGCAAGTTGAGAAGGATATCGAATCCGCTGACGGGAATCTTGCCGAGGCGCGAGCTGGTGTCGACAAATTGCGGAAGGACCTCAGTAAACTCACGGCTCAATTGGCTAGCAGCGAGGTTCGTACGCGTACAGCCGTTAATCATTTGCTTCGCGAGTCTAAACTCCTCGGCAGGCGGCATACGCGAAGGCAGAGAAGAAATTGCAGGAAGAGCGAGCAACCCTAACTCGATTTGACAACGAGCTCAAAGAGCTCGAAGTAGTCATCAAGGAGAAGAAGCAGGCTATCTCTGATGCCGATCTGCAGATGAAGAAACTCGATCATGATATCCAGACGCTGAACAAGGAGAAGGCTGCTGCAGTAAACTTTGTCGCTAATCTGGAGAAGCAGTACGAGTGGATTCTTGAGGAACATGAGTGCGTCAATCAGACCACCTTGAGGTAGCACTGCTCACCAAACTATAGACACTTTGGCAAGCCAGGCTCGCAGTATGACTTTACAGCCGTGGACATAGGCCGACTCAAGGAGAAGGCGAAGGAGCTAGAGGCACAACAGAAGGGTATGAAGAAGAAAGTAAATCCTAAGGTCATCAACATGATCGATACGTGAGACAGTTTGGTCCGCATACGTTCGCGACAGGCATGCTCATATTTCCTGCAGTGTTGAAAAGAAAGAGGCAGCTCTGAAGAAGATGTTAGGAACTGTTCTCAAGGACAAGGAAAAAATCGAACAGACAATAGAAGAACTCGATCGCTATAAGCGCGACGCGTTGGAGAAGACTTGGACAAAGGTCAATGGGTAAGGCGCCCTGCTGAAGGAGGTATTACCGAATTGTTGATGCATTCTACAGAGACTTTGGGGGGATTTTCGCCGAATTGCTGCCCGGCAACTTTGCTAAGTTGCAGCCTCCCGAGGGCCAGGACCTCATGCAAGGACTCGAGGTCAAAGTGCAGCTCGGATCTGTCTGGAAGCAAAGTCTGACAGAGCTAAGCGGAGGTCAACGGTACGATATACAACCAATGACTATGTGTACTTTGTTGATGTTTTCTTCGGTTAGGTCCCTCATCGCCCTCTCTCTCATCATGTCACTCCTGCAATTCAAGCCTGCACCCATGTACATTTTGGACGAGATCGATGCTGCGTTAGATCTTTCACATACTCAACACATTGGGCAGCTATTCCGCACACGATTCAAAGGCTCTCAGTTCATTGTAGTCTCCCTGAAGGAGGGCCTATTCACTAACGCCAACGTGCTCTTCCGTACAAGGTTCCGCGATGGCACTTCAATCGTCGAGCGCACAGCACAGCGTTCTGCCTCGTCTCTATATACTAACACCGAGAAGGAGAACGAAGAGACGGAGACACGTAATCCGCGAAGAACAAGGATCGCGCATTCATGACCTGTCTCGTGGGACCATGCGATGGCATATCTCGTCAGATAAAAGCTCTATACTGTAGCTGTTATATTCTACGCGTGTTGTATTTGGCTATGGTGTACAACTGACTGTATTATACCGCTTACGATAATTCAATATTCATTTTACTATATTCTGAGATAGTCTTCCGCACGCAGGTACTGCAGATATACATTGACAACTCATCGCCAGGGGGAGATGATTTGGATGCGAGGGGGTTTGACGGATAAACTGCTAATAATATGTACGCCCTAGTCAGGAACAAGCATTGCATTGTTCAGCGACATTAATTTACTAGGCAAATCAAGATAATTGAACGATACAAAACAACCGAGCGACAGATAATTTACAAAAATGCGACCCTGTGTCTGATCGTTGTTAGCTCAGCGTGCACCCTTCAAATATTATATATTAATGAGCTACCTTGCACGCTGATTCTTACGCCTCGACAAAAAATCCAATACACGACTCCCGCAAGTGCCTCTCGAGCGCATCTACCCTGCAGTATTTACGACCGCAGCGAGGGCATATACGGGAAATGCTCTTCAAGTGCACCGATGCGATATGCTTGCCAAATCCTTCGTGGAACAAATCGGTCCCGCAAGAGCGACCATTGTCCAATTGCCATTGACAAACTCCACGAGCTCGATAGTTCCACGAGGAGGTTGTGCGATGGAAATGATGTCGTTTGAGATGCCAGGCGATCCCGGCCGCTGAGAGATCGGTCAGATTTACGCCGCAGGAAGAACCCCAGCGACACTCGACGGCCTTCTCTGCAGAGACAAATGTCTCGGCCTCGGAAACTTGACCATAAGGCGACACCGTGCCCATTGAAGCTTCGTATCGGCGGAAGTGAACTTCTTCATATAGCGGGTAAAATTGAACCACTTGGTGGCCGGAAACGAAGCCAGGATGCAAGATCCTAGTCCGACGAAGAGATCGTTAGCGCCAACCCATGTCACCTGGGGTAGGACGGACTCATTGTGACGATAGCTTTGCGGGGACGTGGGAGAATCGCCAACCATCCAGGATACCTGTTGAGGCGATATTTGATGCTGACTGGTAGGATGTCAAGATGGGTCTGCCGGACGATTGGGAGGACATACCAGTGGTTCATAGCCGGGGATTGACGTGAAAGGCAAAGGGGTATAGCGGGGTCGGAAAGCTTTGTGCATCTATAGATCTCGCGACTGTTTTATCTATGGCATGGTATACTACGGCAATTAGTTCCGGGACGCTCGAACCAAGCATACGATCTACGGCGCTAACTTAGCTGGCTGTGCTTTAGAGGAAGGTGGATGTGGTACAAAGACAAGTACAAAAGGGTCAGTCCTGCTTGTCAACAATCACCAGCCGATCAGAAAGCATCAGTCAAATATTGAAGAAGCATGAGTTACGCGGCCGTATATCTATGGAAAGACAAGGGAGAGCGTGTCATGCAGGGTATCATATGGCAGCCCAATGAAGGAAGCTCTGTTTCCCTACGTTGAAAATTTGAGCGATAAACGAGAATGTTGGCTATAAGTGCATGAGTAATATCTGCGGAGAGAAGCATCACTGTGGATTGTTTTGCACGGAGTTGTGGCAGAACCTTGTGTGGGCAAGGTCCACCGTTTAGCAAATTCCGCCGTGAATCATGGTGATAGCAGCAGACCAATCAGACTGCTACGAAAGTGGTGAATACACCCACTCATGCACATAATGCCACAATTTGCCGTGCAGTGAAAAATTGACTGACCTGATTAAGCACAAGTGCGGTTTGTTTGCCGGGCTTCGATCCCTCCACCACGCAAATGCTGTCAGCAACGTAACAATAGACCTTATACAATCAGAACTGCTATAGGCCGGGTTCCACACATGATGATACAAGGAAATGGAAGCTATAAGGCGTTCATATGATATGCCGCTAGTGTTAGTACACTGCATGAACGGACCGGAGATCGAAGGTAGCGGCTGAAAAATAGGACGCTTACACCGTCCGAATAAGGCCAAGTAAGCATCTGGGGCATCTGGGTTCAGCGTGTACCATACAGTCACCGGAAGACTGCAACACAGCCAGATGAGAAGACATGTCAAACTGTGGCAACTTGACTCACATTGAAAACACTTTGGTCAATTTTCGCAATTGACTCTGAGGATCTTTGGCCCATCACCACAGGAGATATACTCAGAGAAATGAACTACGCCGACACGCCGCCGATTGGCCCTTCATTATCGTGGCTATTCACGGCGGCTAGATACTATTGAAAACTAGACGGTCGGGACCGGCGTTCAGCGGATGTTTTCCTTTCGGAGCAGTTGAGATCATTCTCCACGCTTAATCTTCCACCATAAATGGCTCTAGGTTACGGAGTACAGAGGTTTCTGACTGCCCGGTGTACAAAAGTATGAAGGCAAAAGTCTTCAGTTACAAGCGACCGAAGCATGGAAGACAGTCGAACAAGACACCATGTGACAGACTCACCTTTCGTCTGAGTCCTGCCATACGCAGGTGATGTATCAGATAACGATCACAATTGACGGCAAGGGCCTCCCATAAGAGAGGACATCCGTTATTGGCATGCGGTGCTATAAAAATCGTTATTTTCTGTATGTTTTCAGTCGAGAGACGCTCCCACAAATTTCTTTAAAACATAGGACGCAGCGAGAACCACGAAGCCACATTTGTAGTTTTGAGCACCATTGAGAGGAGGCGTTATGACAAGCCGCTGTCATTAAGCACGAGTAGATCAATTCGCCAATGCGTTACAATGGATGGTGCCGCCGAGTCCGCATGGTATCTGCAATCTTCTATTACACGGCACGGCGAGGATTTTTGGCGCTCGAAATGTTGTATCAAACTTTGTCACTGCCACAGGCCGTTCTCACCGAAAAGCAGACATCTTGATCACGGAGGGAATCTATCCACCGCATTGCAAAATGGGACTTCCCTTGCACTTTTTAGCACAGGCCGCAGACACCATGCGCAGCATGCAACATTTTGCTGTTGTAACGTACAGCCTTCGACCGGACTGTAGGTTAGCAAATTCCGACGAGGGTGCACGCGACTGCATATGACAGGGCCTGCTGCGAAAGCCAAGAACTTGTGGTGGCCAGTGGTCCGCGTGGGAGGATCAGAGATTCACATAATTCGGAGATTGATCGACGAACCAAGAGCCACCGATCTCTCTCTGAATCTGATCGAGGTGAGGCCGCGACGCGTCAATCACGTGGGCGCGTTGGCCTCTTCCCGCGACTCAGTACTCTAGTGGCTTACTGGGGACACAGTACTAGTGGCTTCAGTAAGGACCTCGTATGCTCAGGGTTCAGGAAAAACTTATCTCCTAGCCACCCTAGCCACTACAGACTCAACGGTGCTCTGTTTGCATACAAAATACTCTTGTACATGCGATGAATATGAATGTCTTCGGCGGGATTTTGTCCTTTCCTTACAAGAGGGTCCTCATCAACCCAAGACCTAGTGGCTGTGATCACCCTTCCCGTACGACTTCCTCCATTGCCTCCTTGAAAATTCGGCATCCCAACGCGAGGTCCTCCTGCGAGATATTCAGCGCGGGGATAAACCGGATGACTTCGTACACGCTCGTGGTCAGGATGAGCATGCCCTTCTCCTGGCAGCGCTTAGCCACGCGGCGCGCGAGGTCCTTCGGCGCGTCCGCGCGTCTGAAGCGGTCGTACGGGCCCGTACCCGTGGGCGAGGCAAATTCAATTGCGGCCATGAGGCCCTGGCCACGCACGTCCAGGATGTGCGGACTACACGTGGGATCACTGCGGATGGCGTTCAGCGCCGCGAAGAGTTCTTTTGATCTGTAGGCCGTCATGAGCAACGTGGCGAGCTTCTTCCATTTGTGATGCACTCACCGGGCGTTGACGTTGTCCAGAATGTGCTCTTCCTTGAATACATCTGCGACCGCACACGCCGCGGCACATGACACTGCGTTCCCAGCATACGTACCGCCCTGGGAACCGGCTGCCGTAAGCATATATATACACACCATGCCGCATGTCTTGCACGTACCAGCGAGCCAGGCTTGAGCTTGTCCATAATCTCCTTACGGCTGATGACGCCACTGAGCGGGAAGCCGTTTGCCAGTCCCTGGAGCCCGCCATCAGGAAAATTGTGCCGCGGCGCTGTTTAGATATCGGCTGCACGCACCTTTGCAATCGTCATGATATCGGGGCGGACGCCCGAGTACTCTATCGCGAACTGCTTCCCCGTGCGGCCATATCCGCACTGTACTTCGTCGATGATGAGCAGGATGCCCTCGCGGTCGCACACCTCCCGCAGACCGCGCAGGAACTCAGGCGGCGCGGGAACGTATCCGCCCTCGCCGAGCACGGGCTCGATCAGGATCGCAGCAGTGTCGCGCGGCGCTGTTTGTTGCGATAGGAGGAGCGAGAGCTGCGATAAGCATGCCGCGGAGATCTCGCTACTTGGCGTGGACGCAGGCATGCCGAGTTGATGCCAGAACGGATAGGGAAGCGAGTATACGCCGGGCTGGGGGTGGTGCATTTAGTGCGGTCGAGAGGTGTGGAGCAGCGCGTAGTTACCATGAGCGGGTGGAAACCCTCGCTGTAGCCTGTCTTGCTCTTCGTCACGGCCATAGCGCCGTATGTTCGCCCGTGATATCCACCTAGCGAACGGCCCACGATTCAGTCATGCGCCCGGGGGTTTGTGAACGAACGTGAAAGCAGCGCACCTTGCATAGAGATGATGTTCTGCCTTCCCGTGGCGGCCCTCGCGATTTTGAGGGCCGCCTCAATGGCCTCGCCACCTGAGTTCCAGAAGAAAAAAGAGTCGAGTGAGGGGTCAGGCATCAGAAGCAGGAGCCGTTTGATGAGCTCAAGATACGGCTCATGGAACGCAATGCTGCACTAAGGTTGTGCGGGTATACTCGCTTCATGAGCATTTCTTACCCGCCATGCTTTCGATGTCGCGTACCTGCATGTGGACCACTTTCATGCATTGCTCGGCCGCAGCGGCGCTAACCCTGGGGTGGCAATGGCCTGTAACGACAACCAAATACACCGTCAATTGGGTTGTCTGTAGAAGCGGGAAATATCTAGATCTCACCGAGGTTGGTCACGCCGATGCCACACGTAAAATCCAGCATCTGCCGGCCGTCCTCTAGTGTTATGTACGACCCTTCGCCGCGCAGGACGACCGCCTCCAGCTGGCGTCCGAGTCCATTCGTAACGTACTGCTGGCCAAAATGCGCCAAAGGCGTCACGGGTGCGGATCCTGTCGACATTTTCCTGTGCAACATTGTTCCTAAGGGCGCATTTATGCTGATGCTTGTGTGGGCGCTATGGTTCAAGGCATTGGGTGATCCGCGCGCAGCTGTTGGCCGCAATGAGGCGGGCGCGAGTGCAGCCGAGGAGGGTACGGAGGTGATAGTCCTAGTGAGATGAGATAAGTGTCGGACCATCATCGCGACAGTGGGAGGAGAGGGGACAGAAGATATCTAGTGCCGCGGAGAGCGGATTCCTTGAAACGCATACGCGAATTGCGGTCGTCTTTTTAAGCGCGATAGGGCTGTTAAGGCTATTGGCTCGAGTACAGATGTATAGAGAAGAGGCACCGTGGCAATTCAGAGACGCTCGCGGTTTCTTTCTTGCAGACACAGTAGCTTCCGATTCATGTGATGGCAGACCTGCCTGTTAGGGGCGATAGAGGATGGCCTACGATGCCGAGGGATAGATGGAGCGTGATACGCGAGGGCCATGTGGGCGGAAGCGTCTGCAGCAACACCGACTGACGCGCTGTGCGCGTCGAGATTCGATAGGCGAGGCTTGTCCGCCGGCTATTGGATATAAAGGCGTGTACCGGAACATGGGGCCAGGGTCGATGGAATGTTTTTGTGATAGGGGGAAAGGCCGAGAAGGACGGTTGCTTTGGCAAGCATGTGTCGGACTACGCGTCGAGTCACTCCTCGGGCGGAGGTGCATGTTTGCAAAGGCACTCCGCCCGATGGGTATAATAGCTGGGATCCAGACTGGAGATAGCGGAGGCTCGGAACGATGCTCACCTCGACGAGGAGAGGAGTCTTGAAGGCAGGAGACGGCACGGGGAGCGGGAGACGGAGAGCATGGCGTTGGGGGCGACGGGGCATGGGGGGCATGGTATTTGAGCGAGGGGCAGTCCGACGGCGCAGGGCAGGAACGCTCCCGGCTGCTGTGACGTCACACGTGTCACCGTTCAGTACAAGGTGCTGCAGCCACAACGGATGGATGCGTCCTCCATTGCATCCCGACGCTCCCTGGACCGGATCCATATCACAAGGGCTCTTCTTGACGCCAGCATGACCCTGCGCTCTCCTCTTCGCTATCTCAAGGACCGGATCAGGCGGACAGCCTTCTGCTTCAAGGTCTCCATTTCACTCGCGACTTGGCGGGTAGAAATCGGTGACAGTGCAGCACTGGAGTCCAGCTCAGTCGTCTGCGTCCTGTCTCTCAGGCGTCCTATCCCTGGACCGCCACGCCGGCGGCTCTTGATGCGCGCGTCAGAAGAGTGGATCGCGACCTAGCCGACTTGTGTTTGATTTGCTGGATAGCCGAGAGCCACTCTTGACACCTTCCTTTTACAGAAGGTCATCAGACAAATATGCGAATACTGATACTGGGGGCAATTCGTGCTGCATGTGATGATTGATTTTGCACAAAAGATCGAATTAGGATCGAATTAATAGTGAATATCACCTATTTGGTCTTATTGATGCAGAAATCGAACATAATCCACAGGAAGATTGAAAGAAACAATGACAAGAGTGATTACATAATCACATTATCTCAATCCTAACTCAATATGTCTGTCATATTAGGCACTGTAATATTAAATATATTAAACAAGCACATTCACACTTTGTTCACTCTTAATTCAATCTTTTGTGTTAAAAGATTGGTTACTGCATGTAATGTCAAGATGTTTTCTTTTTGAATATTATCCACATATTTGAGAAGAAATAGATAGTACAAGTTGGATATCTGGATTCCAAATTGACAAAAGCTTATGAATACATCAGTAAAATCCACTTTTTATTTGTAATACTTATGTTATCTTATAATCTTTTTGTTACAACTTAAGGTCAAGCATAGCATCTCTGAAGTTTGGTCCTAAACCCAGGTTAGAACCACAAACCAGCTGAACTGAACCTAAGTTCAGGTTCAGTCAAACTCAGTCCATGGTTTTTCAAAAAGGTTTAGTTTATGTCATAAGTTGACAAAGACATTACAGTCTTTTTTCTTTTTGTTTCCTTCATCAGCAAACCACCACTCTGGCTTGGACCTGTCTTAGCTGCCTTATAAAGATTAGTTGGCTTAATTAAGCAGACTAAGCATAGTTAAGAGTAAATTAAAACAGAATTAAGGATGCATTCTGCCTTATTTTGTCTTAATTAAAACCTTTAAGCTTAGTAAGCCCACCCAAGCCAGAGTGGTGGTTTTCTGATGTTTTTGCCTTTTGTAAGTTTGAACCTGCAACCTTGCTGTGTAAGTGTCTGTTGTGACTTGAAGTCAAGCAACAAAAGAAAGAACACACTGGAAAGCCCAGGGTGTCACGAGTTGACACAGTGTCTAGCCATTTTTTAATTTTTTTCCTTTTCACGGGCTCAAACCCACGACCTTTGTACTACATACCTGATATGGATGCATCACTATCTACTATATAATTGGATTAGATGGACAGCAGTGCATGGCACAGCTCGGGCTCTGCTGACACAGCCACTCTGACTTATTGGCCCCTGGGGCCATGTCAGCATGCTGTGCACGGACCAGCTGTGCATGGACCAGTGTGCACAGCCTGCCCTCATCTTCCCCTGTATATAAGCCAGCCTCTGCTGCCCTAGGGACCTCAGTTTTGACCTTTTGTCCCTAGGTCAGTAAGCCACTCCTGTATTCCTTTCTTACATCACTAACTAATACATTTTCTTGTCCCTAGCCTTAGGTTTGAGCACTGCTCACCATCACTTCGGTGAGACCCAGTCGAACACCCCCAGCCTTTAGGTTTTCTCTCCTGTCGCTTGACCTCAAGTTGCAACATTAGGTTGAAACTCCCCATCGCTACCAGTGTTCATCGAAACCCAAACACTCACTTTTCACTTCCTACAGGTCGGGTGGTGTGCACCCTTACTATACAATTATGATACGTAGATAGCCTACCATACATTGCCAACACCAGGGGAACGAACTCTTCAGTACCTGCACTTCAGTGGGCGGTACTTGTTCTCATGGACATGTAGCCTTGGTTCCTGCTGCATACTAGTCAAAAGCAGTATTGGGCCCTATGTGAACTGCGAATCTCAGTGTCATCTCGGGCACCGTAGGTATAAGCAAGTTTACAACAGCCTTTTGTAGTACACGCACCTCCCCGTCCTTCCCCCATCCAACGTGGCTGCATGTCAAGGCTTTGTTCACGCCTTCAACTCCAAGGACCTCGTCGACGTCTACCTCACTGACGGTCCTTTTGCTCTCATCATCGCCTGCAAACAACAACTGTGCCCTAATCACACGCCTCGATCGATTGAGCAGGATTATGAGCGTTACAAGGCCATCAGATGGGCCCAACATCCGCTCAGCCCCCACAGCACCCTTGCATTCCGATCCGCCTCGCGGCATTCTCGCCCTGTCTCCCCCAGCTTCCCCAAACTGTCGCCGGTTCAAGTCAAGCACGAGGAGATCTCCCTCCAGACCCTGCACCAGAGCCTAAGCCTAAAGAGAGTGCAAGTGAAGAAGGAGTCTCGGAATCCAAGTCCACGGATTCTGCTCAGCCTGCCTCGCCGACAGCGCTTGCCCCCATGTCAACAGTCACTGACATACATGACTGTCGCAACTTGAGGTCAAGCGACTGGAGAAAATTGAAAGGCTGGGGGCATCCGACTAGATCTTACCGAAGCGATGGTGAGCAACGCTCAAACCTAAGGCTAGGGACAAGTAAATGTATTAGTTAGTAATGTAAGAAAGGATACAACTGAAGGCTTACTGACCTAGGGACAAGAGGTCGAAACTGAGGTCCCTAGGGCAGCAGAGGCCGGCTTATATACAGGGGAGGTTAAGGGTAGGCTGTGCGCACTGGTCCGTGCACAGCTGGTCTGTGCACAGCATGCCGACGCGGCCCCGGGGGCCGGTGAGTCAGAGCGGCTGTGTCAGCGGAGCCCGAGCTGTGCCGTGCACTGCCGTCCCATCTAATCTAATCGTACAGTAGATAACGACACGTCCATATCGGGTATGTAGTATAGAGGTCACGGGTTCGAGCCCGCGAAAGGGAAAAAATTAAAAAACGGCTAGACGCCGTACCAAGTCGTAACATTACCCCCCCTCAACGGCGCATGACCTCATGCGAGGCGCCCTTGCCCATCTCCCACCCGGAGCGGCAGCGTGCTTCCATCAATGGCAAAGGCATTGGCTGGAAGTTGAGACCACCAAATGTAGCAGCATTGAGGCGGCGAGGGGCGTTCGGGTTCTTCCGGTGGAAGTCGGCTATGAGGGCCAGCGCATTGGCAACATTGCGCGCCAGTTCCCATGACGTATGCGAATCGTCATAACCCTTCCACTTGACGAGGTACTGCAGTTGATGCCGGAAGATCCTCGAATCCTTGATCCGCTCAACTTCGTACTCCTCGTTGCCCTCAACCTCAATCGCAGGCGGCTCCTCTGGCTCCTGGCCCGGGATATCGCTACGCGTGTACTTGCTAAGCAAGGAGACGTGGAATACCGGGTGCACCGGCACCGACTTTGGCAGGATTAATTCGTAATCCAAGTCTCCAAGCTTTCGCTGCACGGCATATGGTCCAAGGCGCTTGGGACTGAGCTTCTTGCTCGGCTGTTTCAGCTTAAGGTTCCGGGCATCAAGCCAGACCTTGTCCCCCGGTGCAAAGACCGGTGCCTCCTGCACGTGCTTATCGTAGTACACCTTCATACACTCAGCTGACAGCTCGAGCGCAGAGCGCGTATCATCACGAATCTCCTTCAGGATCTTGAGCCGATCAGCGGCCGCAGGCATCGCGGACATCGGATTGATCCGAACCTGGATCTCAGGATGGTACCCTTGATGCAGGAAGAAAAGGGAGTGCCCGGTCGCGGAGTGAACTCGGTTGTTTAATGCGAATTCCGCGAGCGGCAACTGCTTTGCCCAATCATCCTGCCTGTGGCTGGTGAATGCACACAGGTACTGTTCGATCTCCTGATTCCAGTGCTCGGTCTGGCCGTCCATCTGAGGGTGGAATGCTGTGGACAGCGCCGGCTCGATTCCCAGACCCTTGTACACCGCATGGAGATACTTCGAAGCAAACTGGGGACCTTGGTCTGATATGACCTTGGCCGGGGCTCCATGATACTTGAACACATTGCAGATGTACAGGTCTGCCGCACCTTCTGCCATCAGGGTTTCATGACAGGCCGAGAAGTGGACCTGCTTTGTGAAGTGGTCAGCGGTGACCAGGATTGAGTCGAATCCATCAGACTTTGGCAAGCCGACGATCATATCGGTCATGATGATCTGCCACGGGCGCTCGGGGATCTCATTCGGCTTCAGCGGACCCTGGGGCTTGGCTGGGAATGTCTTGGTACGGTTGCACACATCGCAGGTGCTTACGTACTCATTAACCAATTTGGACATCCCAGGCCACCAGTAATTCTGTGATACGAGCTCCAGGGTTTTGGCACGACCGCCATGGTCAGCAATCGGCGAGTTGTGGTGGATCTTGACTATATCCCGCCGGAGCTCCGCGTTCTTTGGGACGTACACGCACCCGCGGAACAGCAGAAGCCCTTGTTTGGCATTCCACTCCTCAAAACCCCTTTGCAGCCGGGGCGGTCCGAGGTCCTGCACCTTTTCAAGTGCCTCAGCCACCTCCCAATCCCTCTCTGAGCATTCCCTGATGCGCTTCAGAAGCGACTGATCGGCCGTCACCGAGGCATGACCGCGCCTGGCAGAGGCGATGCGGAACCTATCAGGTTTGAGAACCACCTGATCGGTGTTGTCATCCTCATCGCCGATCTGGTGATCTGATCGACGTGACAGGGCATTAGCTTTTCCATTGGACGTCCCGGCCTTGTGCGTGATGCGGAAGTCGAAGCGGGCCAGGAACAGCGACCATCGTGCTTGACGACGCGTGAGATGCTGGGATGTACGCCAGTACTCAAGGTTCTTATGATCGGTTACGATCTCGAACTGATTGGGTAACCCCTCGAGATAGTGGCGCCAATCGTCTAGTGCCTCAATGATGGCAAGCATCTCCTTATTGTAGATCTTGTAGTTCCGCTGGGCCGGGTCCATAGCGCGAGACCGGAAGGCGATGGGATGCCATTTGCCATCATCCTGCTTCTGCATCAACACGCCGCCGGTGGCGTAGCCCGAGGCATCAACCTCAATGCGCGTCTCTCGATTAGGGTCGTACAGTGCCAAGACTGGCGTCGTCGCGAAAAGCCGCTTGAGCTCATCGAAGGCGTGCTGCTCTTCTTCGCCCCAATGCCACGGGTCGTTCCCTGTGAGCCGGTCGAGTGGTCGCGAGATCTTAGCAAAGTCCTTAATGAAGCGGCGGTAAAAGTTGGAGAACCCCCAGAACTTCTGAACGTCTTTTTTGTTCTGGGGTACCGGCCACTCATTAATTCCTTTCAGCTTCGCGGGATCCATCGCTACCTCATTGCCACCGAACACATAGCCGACGTAGTTGACCTTGGGAACATCCCACTTGCATTTCTCAGGCTTCAGGAATAGATCATTATCCTGAAGGCGGCGCAGAACCTCGCGTGTGACCTTTTCATGTTCCTCCTTCTTGGTGGAGAAGATGAGGATGTCATCCAGGTACATGAGGACCTTGCCACCGACGATGAGATCGTGGAATATCTCGTTCATCATTGCCTGGAAGGTCGCAGGGGAATTGGTGAGACCGAAGAACATCACCAAGGGCTCGTACAGCCCCCAGTTAGTCACAAAAGCCGCTTTCCACTCGTCGCCGGCTTTGATCCGGACGTTCTTGTACCCCCATCGAACATCGAACTTCGTGAAGAGCGTGGCACCGCGGAGCTTGTCTACTATTTCGGCGATAAGTGGCAAAGGGTAGCGATTTTTGACGGTTATTGTGTTCAACCGGCGGTAGTCTTGTACGGGTCGAAGTGTCCCTTCCTTCTTTTTGATGAAAAAGAAGGGGGACGAGATAGGCGACTTCGATTCCCGTATGTAACCCTTCGCTAGCTGCTCCTTTAGGAACTTATCGAGTTCCTCCTGCTCGTTGTTCGATAATGGGTACACCTTCAAATGGAATGTTGAGTAGCCGGGCACGAGTTCGATCGCATGATCGTATGGCTTCCTTTCGGGTAGCCGTTCTGATGCTTCTTTGGAGAAAACATTCAGGAACTCGTGGTACTGTTTAGGTACCGACTCTTCGGCGGTCTTAACGGCCTTCTTCTTGATCTCTTCCTCAGCAAACAGCTGGGAATACGTGTGCCCTGCTGCGACGAACAGCTGAGGGGCGCCGGGAAGCGTGATACCTCACTCCCAGGCTTCGATCAAGTCGGCCTCATCCCACTCTATTTCCGCCGGATCTTCTTCGGGTTCGGAGTCTAGGAGTACCTTACTCCGGCAAGCGCCTATAACCGACCGTTTGGACTTCGGTGAACGCCTGCGCGCCGTGGGCCTGACCCCCGTATCACGCGCAGTTGCTGCTTGTTCCATTTGGCCAGTCCTCCTGGCACCGCACGTTTCAGGGCATTGTGACAATTTGAGGGAGCCTTTCTCCCAATCAATTTCAGGGTTGTGCTCACGCAACCAATCCAACCCAACGATCACATCCTCCGGACCAATGTCCGTGACCGTAAACACCGTCTTCTCAACGTGCTCTCCTATCTGCATCTGTAGCACAGCTACTTCCGAGATGCTTCCGTCTTTATTCAGGGTGCCGTCGATATTATAGAGCGGAATAGGCTCCTTTAGCCTCCGTGTTTGCACCTTATTTTCTGTAACGAATTGTTTGTTGATAAACTTCGTGGTGGCTCCGCTGTCCACCATTGCGATTATATCCTTGTGCCGTCTTTTTCGCTTGAGTCATACTGGAATGTGAAAATGCTGGGACCCATGGTCCACTTCGTACACATTGGCAGCAGACAATATGTTATAGCGATTATATGATATACCTGGCCCAACGCGTGCGGCACGAAGCGCGGACCGGATTAAAAACCCTCCTCCTTCATTACCCGATAGTGCTCGAGCTCCTCGCGCATCGACTTCATCTGTGCCATTAAGTCCGCCAGCTCCGATTGCTCGGATTTTGCTGAAGCGGCACTTATACTTGCCGAGGGTGACGTCGTGACGGGGGCGCTTGTTGCAGCCTGGGTGGAGCCCGAGGCAACCGTAGCCCGCGCGTCAGCATGTTTTGTGTAAGGTTTGTCCTTACAGTTGGGGCACTCGAAGCGTCGGTACCCTTGCTTCCCACAGCCGAAACAACTGCCGGGGAAGTTTCCTTTTCCGACGGCCGCATTGATGCTGGCCGAAGCTACGTGTGACGGGGGTGCACCATCACGTGCCCCTCCGCGTCCTCGGCCTCGTGCCGAGAAGAAGTTGTTTAGCTCGGGCCGATGGGCCTGGCTAATGTCGAGGATCTGCTCGACCTCGGTGGCGCGCTTCTCAGCTGCTTGCCACGTGGTGAAGGTCTCGAGCTCGATCTTGCGGTAGACGTGGGAGGGGATGCCGCTCAGGTACTTGTCGC